GTGTGTGTGTGTGTGTGTGTGTGTGTGTGTGTGTGTGTGTGTGTGTGTACCCTAGGTATGTTCCACACTTGTATGTACATGATTATACGAGATATGTAAGTACCGGAAGTAGAGCCTCTGTATCTCGAGAATAAACACAGTAAAAATGCTCACATTAATTCTCACTGTGACTTGTCACTATTTCAGGCAAAAAGAATATGATCACAGTGCTTCTTAAAAGCCTCTTGGAGCACAAACGGTTAAATACTCGGGTCTCCTCTGAACCCAGGCAGTAGTCCAGACTTCTGCCTTAATCTTAAGATTCCTTTTTCTTGCAACATGACTCCCCAAACACAGCTCATGTATTAGAGGATGACACTGCAGTGGGTGATTTTTCCCAAATGCCTAGCCTATTTATGGAGCGTTTTGGCCTGTTGGAATGCAGTTGCCATTGCCAAAGAGAACACCGTGCCGAGGTGACGTGAGTCCCTCTTAACTGTGTGTCATGACCGAAGCTGCCTTGACTTAAGAGCTGCTGACACAAAGGCTGACGTCAGCCCTTCCTTCCACTTTATTCCTTTCCCCAAATATACTCATTTTTAAATACGAACATTGCTGTCTGTCTTCATTTTTATTTTGGCTTTCCATTATTAACTTTAAGTTTAATGTAGAGAGTTAAAAATGACAAGCCAGTATAGCTTTATTATTTTATTTAACAACCGATTTGAAGGCCTTAACAAGTACATTTTATTGCCTTATGATAATTATTTCTCATATTTCTCGCCTGTCTGGTGAAACCAAAACAGAAACGGTTGAATCGAAGCATCAAAAGATTTATAATTTGATCGAGACAACTCTAGAGGCAGATTTAAGATTTCGTCTGTAGTATGTCCTGCCTCCTTTTCTTTGTTGTTGTCATGTTGGAAAATAGGAAGCATTTTTTTCCCCTGACTTTGGAGCGCGTATTCATCAGTAACTGTCGTTCTTGTATGATGAGACAGACCAGGAGAGCCAGCATTCCGACCCCTGGGGTTTCCTTGATGCCTCTCTCGATAATAGCAGTGCCTTAACAGCATGCGTGATGCAAAAATTACTTCTGCCTTGCTGGGAGTGAAACCTTGGCGATTGTCCAGTCGTTTCACACATCTTCTCCGACAGTGTGAACTTGCTACATCCGAAACCCCCCTCCCAGAAGGAAACCAGCTGGAGAGTATAGAAGAAAAAGTAGGACTTAGCAGTTTTTATATTCGTGTAGATTGTTCCCCTAGAGAAAGTGTAATTCGCTCGTTATCGGCTAATATGGTGACACTGGAGAAGTACCTTATGGCATGCAGAATTTTAAAATTAGTCGATCAGGGCATTAAACCTGTATTCCGATTCCGTGGCTGGCTCCACAAATGAGGATCCAGTTAACAAAAATCAATTTCCATGTTTCTTTGGTAGACAACTACCTGCAATAAGTTACTCGTTTCTTTTGATGCAAACTCAAAGTCATGTCTAGTCCCTTACGTAGAAGGTCATATAGGGAATCCTAGCATTCTGCTTTCTCCCAGATTCTGTTGGTATAAGTCTGTGATCAGGATGTCCTTTTTTTTCTTCCTTAAGATTTTATTTATTTATTTGAAAGAGAGCGAGTGAGAGAGAGAGCACAAGTGGGGTAAGGGTCAGAGGGAGAGGGAGAAGCAGTCTCCCCTGCTGAGCAGGGAGCTCGACCCCAGGGGCGCTGGATCCCAGGACCGCAGGATCATGACCTGAACCAAAGGCCGCTGCCCAACCAACTGAGCCCCCCAGGCGCCCCAGGATGTCTTAAATGTATTTAGTTTTCTTGAACGTAGAAGAGTTTAGAGAGTAGGTATGTTTTATCGTTTTTCCCTTTTAAAAAAAAAAAACACAGTCTGATTTAGTCCTTTCTACCAAGGGGCTAGTTCAGATTCATTCTTCTTTTAGGAGTCTCTCCTTTTTCTTCACTTGAGGAAGAGTTACATTCCTGCTTCCTCACCCAAGACCTGTTAACCAAGGATGGGAAATTCTCAAGCCATTAATTAAAGAGGAAAAAAAAATTATTTTGCAGTCAGGTTAACCAGGTAGTTGTTTCATATAGATAGCAACATATTGAAAACCTAAAGCATGTTATAATTACAGTCGTGTTTTAAACAGCTCCAGATTCAGGGATATGAAACGTAAGGTTTTTAGAAGTGTTCTACCTGATCTCATAGAAATTGAGGGCTCATTCTTTCCTTTCAGACAAGGCTCTTTTTCCATGTGTTTTTATAGATATTTACATAATGTGACATTTATATATTTGAAAAATAATCCCAAGACATAACTATTTTCCTTTTTCTAATTTATCACCCCAAACCAAGAATTACTTGAGAAAAGAAGCAGAGGAATTTCAATGTAGCAAATATACTTTGCTTTTTTAAGGCCATAGGAAAGGGGTTAGGGCTGGCGATGGAGGGTGGGTAGAAATGGTAGCATCCTGAGATACTGACTCTCTTGTGCTAGAAATCCCCTGATTGGCAGCCTTTGTATTTATGCTGCCTTTTACACGAACAGTAAATTTCACCTTTCTGATGATCAAATGAAATATTTGACAAGGGATTGAATCACAAATAATTGATTTTGTTTGTAATTATTGCTAGCGACAATTAATACTTCTTAAAGTAGTTTTAATTCAGGGATCAGATTTGTTTACCATAGTTTTCTGCTTTTAAAATGCACTGTGTATGCAACAAATATTTTCTCATACTAAGAAATCAGTAGTCCTCTCATGCTCATTTTCTAGAAACATCAATTTAAACATTATTCTCTATGAATTTCTCTTTTTACTTCATTTTACATGAAAATCAAAAACTCTTAACATTTTTTGAAGAAGCTGTGTGCCTAAAAGGCACATAGAGACATTCTGATCTTGTTTCTTCTTACATACAATGCCTTACCTATAGGTATAAAATTATGGTTTTAGCAAGTGTCAAATAACATTACTGATAGGGACTTTTCAGATAGAAGCACTTGACTTCCCCTTGCCCTTGGCAGTGTTAACACTGTACCAGTTTTCTTTGGTATGGACAGCCTAATATTCCGTATTTTCATATCTTAACTATGATACAGGGCAGCATCAGAATGTACAGCAACAGTTTTCAAGGCTTCAAGTGTGTGCCAAATAAAAGAATCCAGCACTCAGAGAGGCTAGACATTGTGTTTCATGTTGAAAAGTCTGAGTCCTTGTTGGTTCCCGTCTAGTCACTGTGTGCTGGACAAGTCCTAATGTGGATGGCTTTTACATTAGGACATTTCTTTCTTCCAGTCCGTGGCAATGAAGAGGTAGTGGTGCAGGGCCTGGCGTTCTCCTGGCCTGCATCATCCCCTTAGACTCCTTTCTAAAGGTCTCCATGCCCTACTCAGGCAATGCACATCCTTCTCAGACTAAGAGTGATGAACCATCCCCAGCTCTGTGCTTAAGTTTCCCGCATGCGGATGAGTGCTCAGTGTCTAAGATAGAGTTTCCCATGAAGTGCTAAACCTTTGTCAAAGTCAATGATCAGTTACTATAAATCGTGGAGTATGGGTGAATCTTTCTGCTTGACAAATTGTGTGTGTGCTGGTGGAAGCCCTGCACTATGAGCTGGATAAGGTACTGTATACCTTAGTCTTGTCTTTATAGCAAGTATTTTAATAGGTCACTGAATTGGCCACTTGGCTGCAAAATTTTGAAAGACAACACTCAGTCATGATTTGGTTCTACGTGCATATTTCCATCATATGGGAGACAGTATTATAGTAAGTAGTACTATTCTAAAAATGGAAGTATAAATCCAGGTTTCTTAAATTAGACACAAGAGGCTCTTAAGAGATATAAATTCTGCCCATATGATACCTGTCTTAAAAAT